TGATTTTGGTGTATAAAATTTATAGTCAGAGCATGTTCGGCTAAAGCTTAAAAGGTTTGCTTATAAGAAAACTAGTTTGTAAGTAAACTATCTTTTATCGGTTGAAGTCGGAAATAAGTAAAATTACTTATTTTGACAGGAAGACAAGAAAATAGAAAGTTATCCAAAATGTATAACAGATCTAAGATCCAAGACGTGCTAATTCAACATTTTCTCTCTCTGTAGGAAAGCCATCGAGAAGTTTACCAGAACTTCTACGAGAATACAACTTACCAGTAGGCCTTTTCCCTCAAAATATTACTTGTTATGAGTTTGATGAGTCAAAGTCAAGGCTGACTGTGCACTTACCCTTCTCTTGCGAATTGAGCTTCAAAGACTCCTCCGTGATAAGATATGCCCCTCGGGTCAAATGCATTCTATTAAGGGGCAAGCTCATGGCTATAGAAGGAATGAAAATGAAGGTCCTCGTATGGGTCAAGATCACAAATGTGGCTGTTGAGGGCAACAAGTCGGAAAAGGTCTGTTTCACGGCTGGTGTGAAGAAGTCGAAGCCAAAGGATACTTATGAGATGCCTCGTTATGCTGTTAAAGTAGACGATGTTTGAGAATATAAGTTTATTATGGTCAGGCTTGATATGAACTCGCTGACTAGGCTTCTCAGACTGGTTAGGACTTCTTTCTCTTTAGTTTAGTTTGCACGATAAGGATAATTCTTTATCATGGTTTTGGATCTTATAAATTAAGACCATTTGATATTATATATGTCATTTCTTGCCTTTGGAATGACATGCTTTATCTATTTTTGTCGATTATCTTCTCGTTCAGGTAAAATCGTGTCTCTATATTAGACTGGTCGATGAATTGCAAGTCTTGGAACTCTATCGGAGAATTTGCTAGTAGTATTTGTATGACGCGGTGGAATTTATTATTATTTCGATACTTTCTAAATAAGTGTCATCTTCAAAGTAATCGGGTTAATTGTACCAGCGGTCACCCAACTTTCACAACAATAGCAATCAAGTCACCAAACTTCAATTCATAGCAATCAGGTTACTTAACTTCAATTTGGTTGCAATTAAATCACTCATTTTCGATTCCGTCAATCTTTGTAGCAGGAAAAACTTAACTAGCCGGTGAAACAAGTATTGCTGATGTCCACATTAGCCACTTATTGTCTTCACCGCCTTTCCCCTACCTCAACATCACCACCCGTATCGCCATCTGTGAAGGCACATTGTATTATTTTCTTTTCTTAATGTAGAGGAAAATGTGTCTTTATGTTAAATAAGCAATGTTTTAAAATGCATGCATATGCTTTGCATATATCAGCATATACTCTATACATTTTTGAAACATCTCACATATAGGGTATGTACACAATATTGCGGTTAACTCATTTCGTTGACAGTATATGCATCTTAAACGTCAAAATGTGCACACGTTTGTGTTAAAAATTGTGTCAAAATTAGATTAGTAAAGTCCAACCCATTTTTATAATTTAAAAAAGACAAATTGAGCCCAACAAATATCAAATTAGCACAAGGGAACAATACATTTCTAAGGTGTTTACTTTACACCATTTCAAAAATACCAAAACAGTTTCAAATTTTGACAACTCGGGTTTTTTAATTTTTAATTTATGAAATAATGAATTATTAAATCAATTTATTATTAAATATTTAATTTTAATATAATATAATTACCTCACCCTACCTCCACCACCTCTAGCGTTCTGGTGACTATTCTGGCTACCGTTTCGGTCACAACTCATTTTCGGCGACTATTTCAACGACTGCTCCGATTCCGACGACTATTCCGATGATCGTTCCGCTGCCACTTTGTTCCGACGGCTACTCCGATTCCGACAAGTGTTTCAACTCTGACGAAATTTTATAGGTTACAATTCAAAATTTTCATAAGTCACAATTTGTTTATCGGTCACAACTTAAAAATTTAAAAGTCACAATTTGTTCATCGGTCACAATACTTATTTATGGTCACAAACATCACATTCATTGGATATAAATTATATTTAGGTCACAATTTATCAAATTATTGGTCACAAATTAATAATTTTCAGGTCACACATCTTGTAATAGTCATATTTTATTTAATTCATTGGTTACATATAGTTTATTGGTCGTCAACAAACCAAATTACTGTTCACAAACAACATAATCATTTGTGGCCATCACTAAATCATTCGTGACCACTTCGCTACTGTCTCCACTAGCGGCACCACCATCGTCGCTGCCCAATAGCAACATCAACATATTAAACACCACACCACACCCTCCCACCACCACTATCACCACCCCCAAAACCGCATCCACCACAAAAAACTACCACTACTTCACCATCACCGAGACGGCAGCGACAATGATGCCACAAACACCACCGTTTCTGAGCTCCAACTCATTACCCCAAAAACCCCCCAACAATACCAAAACACGGAACCACAGCCGCCACTACCACTCTAACAACAAAAACCACGATCTCAACACCACGGAACCACGGCCGCCGCCTTACATACCGACACCCAACCGCCGCACCCACACACACCCAACCGCATACCTAACAGATCTGCAATCACCACAACAGATCTGGTCAGTGACTACCACAACCACCACAACAGATCTGGCCAGTGCCTGTCGAATTGCGATAGCAGCGTGCTACCTTTAATTTTAAAGCTGCAAAGACGCTCATTGCTGATTGTAGCAGCTCTCGTCGTTGTTTTCAATAGCAGCAGTGCTCGCCACCGGTGAAATTTGCAGCAATGTTCAACGTTGGTGCTAGTAAGTATAGAAGCACCGCGAGCTGCTTCTATATGGCGGTGCGTCACCGATGTTAAACAGGCGGCGACACACCGCCATTAATATCAATAGATGCCGACGCCAGAGTCCAAGAAAAAGATGGGAGAAGACAGAGCAGCGTCGCGAGAGAGAGAAGAAGGGGATAGACGATAGAGAATGGGCCGGTTGGATCTTCGAAAACCTAGTGAAAGAGGCGGATAAGAGTGAAGACGAGAGGGTGAAGAGGAGAGGAAAAAAAGCCAGCGACGACATAGAACAAAGAGACGGGATGAGGAATTGAGAGTGGAGGGGTAATTGGTGAATTGATTTTAGGGTTTGGAGTGGAGTGGATGGGGTGGGGTGGGGGGAGTATATATAAATTAATTTATTGTAAATAGATATAAAAATTTTAAAAAAAATGTTTTAAAATTATTAATTAAAACCTGATTTTTGTTATATGAAACTTGATTCAGGATTTTTGAAAATGGTAATTTAAAAGTATGGATGGGTGTAATTTCCTCTTAACATAAATCACTCAAACCCATGAAATATATACAACAATATCTGTAGGGTTTTGATATTTTAAAAAAATCAAAACAATTTTTTCATAAAGTTCGCAAACTATCTACGCAGGATTCGAACCCCCTTTTCAATCTTTCTATAGTTTTACTAACAAGTGATGCTAGTAATGAAATTTTTTGAATTGTTGATGGTTGCGATAATGAGGATGATATTAATAATGATATCATACCATCTACAAGAGGTAATGAAAATTCTCGAATTGAAGTAAGGAGCTCGAAGAAAATGATATGACATTGGATGAGACAGAATATGACTTGGATAAAGAAGAGTTTGAATTAAAATTCGATAGAGAGTTAGACAATATTTAAAAAACTTCTTAAGCCGATGTTCATGTTTAATCTAATTATTGGGATTGAATACCAAGTAACTGTAGTATTTTTATCTCTGAGCATTATATTTTTGTCAAAAATATTGAAGAATATATATGAAGTTCACGTGGTATTTTATGATTGTGAACAGTATTTTTTTTTTTATTTCTTTGAAAAGTTGAAAAATATGTATAAAGTTTAAAGAATGCATTGTTTTATTTATTTATTAGTTTAGAACATTTAAAATAATGTTAAAATTTGAAAAACACATAATTACTTCTATGCTTCGCATAGATATTCATAGTTTTGTAATACTTGATGTTAGATCGAAGCTCATTGTCATGCATTAAGCATTTTAAAACCTTGTAAAATAAGTGGCTGACGCGGCTAGTCTACATGGATGCCAAATCTGTACTGGTTAGTTTTAAAGATCAATTAAACATGAGTTAGAATACACTTACAGTCTTTTGTACACAGCTTTGTGTACAGTTCACTCACATGGGGTGGACCCCACAAAATGTGGAAGCATTCTCCATTAAACATTCTGTTATGAAGACGGAATATTTAGCGACATCTGATAAAATTAGGACGTGTTCAGTAGAGATTAAAATCGAATTTAAATTGAAAAATTAGCTGTTATTGTTGACTTTTGTTAGACAAGTTGGACCCAATAACGACTATATTTTCAATTTTAATCTGATTTTGAGCTTTACTAAACAAGCTCTTGATCCGAATAGGACTCTTCTGCTAAATTTGTGATTTTAGGGATTTGTTGAAGTGTGTGTGTATATATATATATATTTTTTTATTTTTTTTATTATTTTTTTGAAGAATATATGATTAAGTTTAGGTCGGATTAAAATCTGATTTTAGTCAAAGTCAATGTCAAACAAGCAATATTTACCACATTTTTCATGGGTTCCACATCCTTTCAATTATACATTTTAAAAACTTCTATCACAATTCATTAAAAATCTAATTTTAATTCCATAAAAAAGGCTCTAAAAATCAGTAAAAATTTTAGATACGGGTAAAATTATTTCATTAAAAAAAAACGTGGTTAAAGCAAACATTTATTGCTATTCCAAAGGCAAGAATCTGTGTAGCACAGCCTTGACGCAAATCCCAAAGAAATCTCATCCGTCCGCCGCTTCAGCCGTCTAATCCAACGGTACAAATCCCCGTTTCCTAATCCAGAAACCCTAAAATCTCCCTCCCCCACACATATACAAACCACCTATTTCACTCTCTTCCCCTTTAGCCTTTCGTTTCTGCTCTTTCTAGAAATTTTCCTACTTTCTCTGTATATTCGTTAACTATGTCGGACGAGGAGCATCACTTCGAGTCGAAGGCCGATGCCGGCGCCTCCAAGACTTTCCCTCAGCAGGCTGGTACCATCCGTAAGAATGGTTACATTGTTATCAAAGGACGCCCTTGCAAGGTTTTTTTTCTGTTTATATATTATGTGATTTGTTTGTAAATATGGAAATCGTGAATTGATGAATAAGTATACGTTTCACTGTGTTTATTCTGTTACATTTCAGATCTGAATGTTTTAGCGACAGTTTCGAGCCGTGGGCATGGTAGTTAATTAGATTGCTAGTTGTGATTAAATTCTTTGAAGCTCATGTTATAATTCACTTCATCGATTATCTGATTTCAAAGTTTGTATGTTGATTTTTTTTATTCTAATATTTGGTTATTAGATGGTTTGTCAAGTTTAGTGTGAGATTTATTTTACTATTATTGCTTATGTGTATTTACAGGTTAGCTCGAATATACAATATATTAGAATGGAAATGTATTTTTAAGCTCTGTATATTTGGTTATCTGATGTTTGAAAATTAGATCATGTAATTACTTTTTTTTATTGATGATTTCTTGCATATTTTCATTTTTAGTACAATCATATAAATTTATCAGAGAAGATTATATCACGTCTGCTATCGGTACTTCTGATAAATTATTATGACATACAAACTGTTTTATGTATCGTTCCTTTTCAATTTAATCCATTGATCTGAAAGGTACCAGCACCACTGCTACTAATAAAACTTGTCAGCTCATGATAGTGAAATCTGAAATTATATTCTTTTTTCCAATGATCAATCATTTGATCTGGGATTTATGCCTTGTATGCACGATTGAGCAGGTTGTTGAAGTTTCAACCTCCAAGACTGGAAAGCACGGTCATGCTAAATGTCACTTCGTTGCGATTGACATCTTCACTGCAAAGAAGCTTGAGGATATCGTCCCCTCTTCCCACAATTGTGATGTATGCACATTCTCTTTGTGGTTTCTTACGTTTTCTTCCATGGTTTATGCTGTTGTTATGATCAATAAGGTGCCCATAATTACAGGTTCCTCATGTTAATCGCACTGACTATCAGCTTATAGACATCTCCGAGGATGGATTTGTACGTTGGTTCATTGCTTTTTCTCCTTCTTTATATTGAAATTGGTTGCATTAGCTAATAGTAGTTTGCAAAATATGGTTTAGGTGAGCTTGCTAACTGAAAATGGGAGCACTAAGGATGATTTGAGGCTTCCAACTGATGAAAATCTGTTGAAGCAGGTTTGTTTGATTTCAATCTTTTCGTCTATTGTTAAGAATCTCCTTTTGTTATTATCTTTTGTTCCAAATATCCACCTTTTTTTGGTAAAATGGACAGATTAAGGATGGATTTGCTGAGGGGAAGGACCTCGTTGTGAGTGTTATGTCTGCAATGGGAGAGGAGCAGATTTGTGCCCTTAAGGATATTGGCACCAAGTAGCTGTTTAATTTATGTTCAATATTTGTCAATTCAATGAGATAGACATGATATTATTAGATTAGTAAAGGATGGGAGGACCATGTGCCATCTCATTCAGGATTATACAAACTGAATAATTGATGGTTTATGTCCTTGACTTCTGAGAGGCTACTCGTCCCATCTCATATGAGTCCCTTTTTTCACCTTTCTTTGAACTGATGAGATGTTTATCATTGTTGTCCTGTTTTGTTTCTACAGTTGTCTCCTTGTTGTACATTTTTACTATTTGTTTTGGGCTAATTTGGAATTGAAACATGGAAATTTTGTTGAGTTGCAAGTAGCTATAATTGCCACATTTTAGAAATTATTTGTCACATGAAAGGGGTTATGGCATTTCTTGTTTGGTTATTATATATAGCAAAATGAATTCTCGCATTTTCTGGGCAAATTACCATAATGTGTTTTTATGAGAGGGCATCATTTCTATGCTTCAACCATTTTACATTTTCTGCTAGACATAATCATAGTATGGCAATTTATTTAATTCATTGTGGTTTTATATATAAAACTAGATAAATGATTTTCCAAAATTTCATTAACGTAATTTTTGGATTAATAAGAGGTTTGGGTTCTGTTCATACTTTCCTCCCCTGTTAGCTTGGAACATTTTATTTCCAGGGGTTCAGTTCTTGCCGACAATATTCTATTTCTAATTAGCCAATTGATGTAAATAGTCGAGTTAAATTTGAAAAATGCTAATCATTAACATCAACGTGAATGGTTTTAACGAAGATATTAGGAGGAATTTAGGTGCTTAAATAGTTATAGTTTAAAAGCTTATACAGTTTGAGAACTTTAATTGAAGGAATTGAATTGGATTGAACAATTCAGTGCCATATGGAGATAGAACCATCGATTTCAAAAATAATCTTTCAAATCAATGCATATAATGCTTGCCAACTCATAAATTGTCAAATTCATTGTATAAGTAGCATAGTTCTTCTCCTTAATCTTCCGAATAATGTTGTATGTGCATTTTACACGACAACTTGGTTGATTTTCTTACTTATGTGGAGAAAATTTGTACAGTGATGTGATGAATGATTTCAAAATCAAAAGTCTAGATGTTATCATGTGGAATAGTGTAAAAAATAATGTAAGGGAATCTTCCACCACCAAACTTATTCTTTTAGCATTAATTTTTGGCTTCTCAGGGGAGGTGTATGGAAGCTGTTAACTTTACACGCCTGTATGCTTCATTCGTGTATTCCTACTCGTTTTTAAGATCTTTGAACCACGTTTTTAAGTAAGGTCATATCATGTTCCAGGCACTCGTGATTATTCTTCTTTTCTTTTTCTTTTTCTTTTTCTTTTTCTTTTTTTTTTTTGGCTTAAATGATGGAGCTTTGATCTGTCCCCGGTAAATAGCCATAGAGGTCCCCAAATATTTGACACTAGTATCAATTTTATCCCCAACCTTTTTAAAGTAGTACTTATGTTCTCAATCTTTCATTTTGATGGCACTTAGATCCTCAGTGGACAATTTTACCCCTATTTTTCAATACCTAGTTGAAGTTTGTCCAAAATGATGATTTTACCCTTATATTTAACAAACAAAAAGGTAGAACAAAGCAAGTTAGAAAAAGAAATAGAAACTAAAAAAATCATACTTTCTTTTTTCACCCATGGTCTGTTCAAACACCTCCACCGGACCCCTCAAACTTCATCACACCACCACCAAATCTCCATTCCTGCCTAGTTTCAATTTCTACTTTCATAAATAATGTCAACTTTGATCTAATTTTAGGAATGTATGGACTATGGCAGGGATGAAAAAATTCTGTCTCCCTAGCATTGTCCTAGCCCGAACAGGGCGAGAGATCTCCATTTCGAACTACATGAATCAATCCCAAATTTGTTTATTTTATTTTAATGTTATTCAATTTAAAATTCTAGTAAAAATAAATAATATTAAACAATTAATTAATTAATTGGCGGTAAATGGGGATTTTTTTAGTCGTCATCCAGCCTCGTTTCTTCACTTTGTCATCCCTACACTATAGAGTTCATTCAAATATTATCTTGACTATCTTGACGTCATTATTTTTAGAAAATATATTGGTGGGCCCAAATTGATGATAATTTTTTTTTTTTCCAATTTTTCTATCTTGGTTTTATCTATTTATTTTGCTTGTTTAATTTCAATTTATAAGTGTACATTTGCCTATAAGAACAAATTTAATTAATTGATCATAAATAAGGGTAAATTTGTCCAGCGGGAATCAAATAGCTACTCAAATGAAAGGTTGGAGGCGTAAATGCTGCCTTCTAAAGTATGGATACAAATGTGTAACAAGTGTCAAAGGTTGAGACCTCTGTTGCTATTCACCCGATAGGCTGCATCAGCGCTTTACGAGCAACTCTTCTTGTTCCATAATAAAAGTTAGTTGTGACAATCAATCTTACTTACGATTGGCTTTTTAAGCATTTGGACTATGGCCTATAAGTGACACACAAATGCTTATTTACAGTTGGTATTCAAGTTCTTATTTCGTAAATTTTGAAACTTATAATGAGTTTCGAGTCCTAGTTTGTATGTTGCCTATTGTTGCAATATTATCTAGCAAGTGAATAGCATTGTATACGAGTATCTGATGAATGGAATGTCGAATCTACGGAAACATAATATTTCAAGCCTTGAGAATTTTTTATTTAATGTTGTATGGCATCCTCGAAATTTATGTAAGGGATCCGAAAGGGCCTAAAATCAGTCCAAAATAGTTTAATTTATCACGTATTTGGTTTTCGATAAAAATCTGGACTTGCCTTAATCAGGTGTGGCGTGCACTTACATAGATTTAGAGCTTGTTTGATATCCACTATTTTTAAAATATATTTCTCTCTATTATTTTCATTCACACATTTTTCAATAAAATAATATTACACGCAAATTCAAAACTTTTCCTTATTTTTCAATCACATATTTTCCATCAATCTATTATTTAAAAATACATTCTTTGCCAAAATAATGGGGTTCAAACAAGGGCTTAGTGCATACACTATGTTTGGATCTAGGGGTGTTAACGAGTCGAACCACGAAACTCGAGCTCGGCTCGATCAAAAATGATTTGAGCTTTTTTTGGCAAGAGATGAGTCGAGCAAAAGCTCGGTCAAAAAATTGAGGCTCGACTCGAGCCTTTGGTTTGGGCTTAGAGAGCAGAGTTAGCTCTTTTTTTTTTTTTTTTTTT